GGAGACAAATACATTAAGAAAAAGCATCTTTAAAAAAGTATATTTCTGTGCCCGGCACAGTGGCATATGCCCAAAGGCAGGTGATCTCTGTGAGGCCAGCCTGGTCTACAAAGTGAGTCCAGGACAGCCAAGTCTACACAGAGAAACCCTGTCTCAAAAAAAGAGAAAAAAAAGTGTTGTGTTTTTTTTTTTAGTTGTTTTTTTCTTTTCTTTTTTTTTTTTTCTGAAAATTTCTATTTAGAATTTCTGGAGTATAATTATATTCTATTGCCTCTCTTTATATAGAAGCACGACATAACAATTGACAAGCAGTGAGAATGATATTTGGTGGCTAAATACTCCATTTCTGTATACCTGAGGGGCTGGTTCTGAGATATGTTTTTGTGGTTTGGTTTGGTTTGGTTTGGTTTGGTTTGGTTTGGTGTTTGGTGTTGTTTGGTTTGGTTTGGTTTGGTTTGGTTTGGTTTGGTTTGGTTTGGTTTGGTTTGGTTTTTCCAGACAGAGTTTCTCTGTGTAGCTTTGGCTATCCTAGACTCACTTTGTAGACTAGGCTGGCCTTGAAGTCAAAGAAATCCACCTGCCTCTGCCACCCAAAGAGCTGGGATTACAGGTGTGTGCCACCACACCTGGCTTCTGAGATAAATTTTTGTTTTGTTTTCTTTTGTTTTAGTTTAGTATTCTTTCCTAAGGCTGTTGACTCTTTAATACAGTTCCTCATGTTATGGCGCCCCCAATCATAAATGCTGTTTTGTTTTGTTTTAGTTTAGTATTATTTTGTTTTGAGGCAGGATTTCTCTGTGCAGCTCTGTTGTGTTATTATGAATATTTAATACTGATTAAAGTTGCAGGATATTTGATCCCATATGGACCCCAAGATTGTGAACTGTAAAACCCTGCTTATCCTTGTGGAGGTGGAGTGGCTCAACCCTAGCACATGCCTTTAATCCAACAACTTTCTCTTTATCATAAACAAATGGTTATGCTGTGGCTGAGCCTTAGCACATACCTTTATCCCAAAGTTTTCTGTCAAGAGGCAGAAAAAGTAACCAGCTGACAGAGATTAAAGAAAAAGGAGGGACTTGAAGGGTATTTAAGACTGTGTGGAGAAGAAGCATGTTGTCTTTTTCTATCTGGGACATGAGCTGAGTAAGAAAGGCTTTTTTTCTTCTGGGACATTGGCTGAGTAGGAAGATCAGCTGGGTGCTTTCTCCGGCTCTCTGAGCTAGTAGATTTTCACCCCAGCATCTGGCTCCTGAATCTTCATTGGTAAAATTGAACAATTTGGCATTTTATTTTTTCGCAACAACATTTTGCCTGGATCACAGAAGGGAAAGAGAGAAGAGGGAGAGATAGGAGAGGAAAAAGAAAGCAGAACCACCATAGGTTAGCATAAAGAAGAACTGTGTGTCAGGGAGTTTGCTCTGAGGATTAGCAATGCAGGAAAGCAGCTCAGATGAAAAGCATGAGTAACTATGGGAATGATGGATGGGGTAGGAGTAATTAAAGCAAATGGCATGGAATATGGAGATGAGAGATATAAAGATAGCATAGAGGTCTTGTTTCTGTCCTGTTCCAATGTATAGGTATATTAAAAATCTAACAGATGTCTGTGTCTTTTATTGATATGATAGCAGATTAAATACTAACTGCCGCAATAATTGTATGCTAGTATAGTAGATATTAATAACCTTTTTCTACAATAGATTCATGTAATTATTATTAAGGCCTAACATCTGTCTGTAGACCAGGCTGGCCTTGAACTCAGAGATTTACCTGCCTCTGCCCCCTGAGTGCAGAGATTAAAGGCATGAGCCACCTTTACCCATTCCTGGGGTATGTTTTATTGTCATGTTTCTCAGAATTTTCCAGCATACATAGATCACCTGAAGAAAGTGATAAAGCAGGTCCTCAGCCCGAATTTGCATTTATTGCCATTTTTTCAGCCTCCCAAGCCCCAATCCTGAAATTCACTTTGTAATTCAGGCAGGTCTTGTACTCAAGATGATCCTTCTGCCTCAGTACCGTGTGTACTCAGCACTGAGTACTGTAATTATAGGCCTGTGTTGGAGGACGTTTTGTGCACTGTGTAATCAAAGCCGATTTCTGTACACAGAGATCTGAATGCAGTCTGAATGTTGACATTGTCATTTCTATGAAGCATCTCCTGTCTCAAAATGGTGTAAAAATTGTTCTCTATCACCTCTGATTGGTTAATAAAGGGATGAACCGCCTATAGCAGGACAGGGACAGTAGAGTTAAGGTGGGACTTCCAATCCAAGGGAGGAGGGGGTCCAGGTGGAGCAAAGAAGTTGCCAAGGGAGTCACCATGAGGACACAGATGGAGCAGCCAGGGCAAGACTAAGGTGGCAGGTAATAGGGCACATAGCTGAGAACTAATCCAGGCCAGTATAGTCAGGTAAGAATAGACGAGCTGTGGAGCCCAGTTATAATACTTGAAGCTTATTAACATAATAGGTCTCCATGTCATTATTTGGGAGCTACAGTGGTATTAGAAGAGCCCCTACATTTAATTTTACAAACCTGAACAACCACATGCATCTGTATTTCATATTTTATTTCTTTGGTTTTGTTGTTATTGTTTGAGACAGGCTTGCTTGTGTAGCCCTCCCAGGCTGTTCTAGAATTCACTCTATACTTGGCTTGGCCTCATATTTCCCATGATCCTTCTGCTCCTCCAAAATGCTAGAATCACTGGCCAAATGTAAGCCACCATGCCCACTTTCGAGCTCCATGCTGCTGCCAGTCATGGCCATTCTTGGAGTAGCTATCTGAAGTTTCCAGTGGGATTACCTCCATCACCCAAAGCACCTAATACTGGCTTACTCTTCACTCCCTTATGCTGCTTGGATGTCATCTTCTAAATGCACTGTTTCCATATAAACCTCATTTCAGGTATTTCGAGGAGCCATCCAAACTATGCAAACCTTCTTAGGAAAATGCACATAATAGAGTTTTGCTTACACATTTAAAAAATATAAGAATTCTCCAAAAGAGAATTTTTCCTCCTCTCTTTCTCTTCTGTCTCTTTCTCTCTCTCTCTCTTACTCTCTCTCCTCTCTCTCTCTCTCTCTTTCTCTCTCTCCCTCTCTCTCTCTCCCTCTCTCTCTCTCGGGATAGGATTTTAAGTAGCCCAGGCTGGTCTCTAAAAAGAAAAAGAATTTCATAGTTAAAACAAATTAGGAAAGTAGACTTTAATTCCAGCACTTAGGAGATAGAGGCAGGCATATTTCTATGAGTTCAAGGCCAGCCTGGTCTACATAGTGAATTCCAGGCCAGTCAGAGCTACATAGTGAGGCACTGGCACTGTCTTAAAAAAAAAAAAAAAAAAAGGCTTAAGCTTGAGATTCTAGAGTAACTCTACATATGAAATCAATAGAAAGAGTATTGTCATTTATTTCTATTATTTCTATTCCTACTGTGCTTTCATAGTTTCTTCAACCACTGTACATTTTGGATATCACTAATTCCCCTGGAACTCTTAAATTTTTTCTTGCTATGCTGACCCAGAACCAAGCACACTGTGGGAGAACCGATAGTTGGTTTCTCCCACTTCTTTGTCCATTTTATGTGCTCTTCTATTTAGTCCTTTGGGATATATGGTTTGTTTTATTTATTTTATATGTATGATTGTTCTGCCTGTATGTGTGTATATGCACCACACATATGGAGGTGCATTTGGAGGGAAGAAGAAAGCAGCAGATTCACTGTAATGGAGCTACAGGTGGTTGTGAACTAAACCCCAATGTGTGTGCTTGGAGTTAAACCCCAGTCCTTTGCAAGAGCAACAAGTGCTTTTAACTTCTGAGCCATCTCTCCAGCCCCATATAAGCTTTTACATATGTATTCCCAAGCTTACTGTGCTTTCTGGCAACCTTAGATTTCTTTACTTTTATTTTATGTATGTGAATGTTTTGTCTGCATGCATGTATGTGCACTATATGCATACCTGGTACCCTAGGAAGCAATGGCTTCTGAAATTACAATGGCTGCTGGAATCTAAACTGGTCCTTTGGAAAAATGGTGTTTAAAATGCTGAGCCATCTCTTCAGCTCCTCCAGTAGCTGTATGTATGTATGTATGTATGTATGTATGTATGTATGTATGTATGTATGTATTTATTTTTGTTTTTTCAAGACAGGATTTCTCTGTGTATCTTTGGCTGTCTTGGACTTGCTTTGCAGACCAGACTAGCCTAAAACTCACAGAGATCCACCTGCTTCTGCCTCCCTGAGTGCTGGGATTATAGGCATGCGCCACTGTGCCCAGCTCCTCCAGTAACTTTAAACATGATATTGTTTTGTGACAATCAAAGGAACCTTCACTTTCTTTATTTTAACTCTGTTTTTTTTTAAAGATTTATTTATTTATACATATGAGCACTTTACGTGCATGCGTGCCTGCATGACAAAAGGGATCAGATCCCATTATAGATGGCTGTGAGCCACCATGTGGGAACTGAACTCAGGACCTGTGGAAGAGCAGCCAGTGCTATTAACCGCCGAGCCATCTCTCCAGCCCCCAACCTTCACTTTCTTAAACCCCCATTTTCCTTTCCTGGTGTTTCTCAGCTTCTAATTGGCTACACAAAGATAACTAATACCAGTGTTACCAACATTTATTTTCTAATCTGTGTATAAAAGCTTCTTAGCTTTATAAACCCATGAACCAGCATGTGGGTTTATCTCATATAATACTGAATAATCTTTGTTTATATGAATGTGGTTTTGTGGATGAGGATGTAGGTATGGATATGTAAACAACCAAAGCTCATGTGTGGTCTTAAAGTCTGAACAGAGGGTTTAATATTTGGCTTTAAGTAGTCTTTGTGCATCATCAGCCTCAGTTTTCATCAGTCTTGAAATATCAGAGAAAGAATGAGTTTATTTCCTTAATGTTTATTGACTGTTACTGGTGGCAAAAAAAATTCATAAAAGAGCAGATTCCATATGGAACAACAGGATGGGAGCTCTGAACTGGTGGGGAGGGGTGCTTTGGAGTGGCAACTTGAAGGGTGGGAATACAATGACTCCTACCCTTTACCCTCCATTGCCACAAGGATACTGGAGTACAGCTGGGGCATCCCTTCTCAAACTGGAACCAGAGAGGGGAAATGATGTCATATAGGAGGAAACATGTCACAGCTCCTCTGTCTCTCCATCCAAGGGGAGACCAATATCCACGTTGTAGTCTACAGGCTCCCCAGAGCTCAGCCAGGGAATAGGGGTTCGATTGAAAGAAGGCCTGTTGGAGAGGTTCTGGTTGTAGAGGACCAGGGGTTCACTCAGCAGAGGCCCCAGGTCAAACTTGGGCATCTGGAAGGTCATGCGTTTGGAGGCCTTCTCATATCCACCATAGGGCATTGCTGTCCTGAGAGGGGGACATGTTACATAGTTAAGAATCAGAATAAAAGAAACAATACTTATCAATGAAATATTACCCTGTTTTGTTTTGTGGGGTTTTTTGTTTGTTTGTTTGGGTTGTTGTTTTGTTTTGTTTTTTTTTTTCTTTCAAAACAGGGTTTCTCTGTATAGCCTTGGCTGTCCTGGATTCACTTTGTAGACCAGGCTGGTCTCAAACTCACAGAGATCCACCTGCCTCTGCCTACCCAAGTGCTGGGATTACAGGCCACTGCACCCAGCAAAATATTACCGTGTTTTAAGGGAAAAGACTCTGTAAATCATAGTTACAGATTGCTTTATTCTCCTGTAACAGCCCACTTACCCAGCTTGGCTCTCCGAGGTTAGTGATGAGAGGGCTGCATGGTCTTATGGGCACATGCCAGCATTTTAGAAAAGGGCTCCAAATACTGTGCAGCCAATAGTATGAGACCATCTTGCATTACAATGTACATGCCTCCTCCTAATTCTGCCCTCACCTCAAATGCATAGGGCCAGGAGGACTTAAGAGTCAAATGCAAAAGCACTTCTGTAAACCATCCTCAGCCTGCTGATCTATTTATTATGGTCTGCAATGTCCAATTCCAAAACAATAAAAACTTGGGGCAGGGTAAAAAGAATAAAATTATTTTGTAGGGAGAGTAATGACATTGTCACCTTGAATGGGAAGAACCCAGAAGACACCTCCATAATTTGTAGTATCCTCATTTTACCTTAAAAATAACCAAAGCTCAAAAAAAAAAAAAAAAAAAAAAATCCATGCCCAAACTGCTTATCAGTGAGCTAACATAAAGATCTTACTTCCAAACAAATCTTTCCTTCACCATACTGATATGAGATGCAGGAGAGCAGAGATGCTCTGTGACAATCACACATTCCTGCCACTGCCCCTTAGCCTCCTGAGACATCTGAACTGTAACCCCATACCAAGTGAAGGGTTACACAGCAGAGAACCTCCTACCTGTTGAAAGACTTATATTTGGGGAGTTCAGCTTTGGCCCCATATGCCAGTAGATCAATGCCAAGTTCCACTTTTTGCTGAGGATCAACACCCATGGCCCGATCCCATGGGGAAATGTAAGTCTTGAACACGGTGATATGTTTTCCTTCTCTACCTGCCTGGTCACCTGGTAGCCATGAGAGAGAAATGCAAATCAAATAATAGCAGCTACTATTAGTAGCTAATGAAAGCTAAACCCATATTCTACCACTAGGAAAGCTGCTGAGTCTAGGGACCAGAGGTAACATCCTGGAAACTGTATATGGTTTGTAACATAATGGTAGGGTAGTCTCGGGGAAGATTTTTATAGAATCTGAGAAACCAGAAAAAATAAATAAATGATAAGACTGTGGGTAGAACAGACACATTGCTGTGTTCTGGATACCTTCTGGGTCCAAGACACCTCTGTCTCCCTCTTCCCATATCTCAAGTAGGTCTCATTCCTAGGGACATCTCTGTCCTGGGGAACAGATGCATGACTTCTGGAGACAATACTTGCCTGATCCTGGCTCACCAGCCCCTGCTGTGCCAGAAGCTCCTCCTCTGCCAGCCTGGCCCCCAGGACCACCTGCACCCCCAGCTCCAAACCCAGATCCCTGCTGATGGTGGTGGTCAGAGCCATACTGTCCAGCAGAGCCACTGTCCCCAGCCTGGCCTCCGCTGCTGCCCTTGCCATAGGAAAACCCCTGCCCAGCTGTTTCCAGCTGTCCTCCCACTGTGGGAAGAAACTTCTGGAAGTGATCCTGAAAAGAAAATACAGTGCAAGAAGAAGGTTAGCAATGGATGTGGAAAATACATGAAGACAGATACGTATATGTATACATTGAGACAGAGCTAAGACTCAGCCAGAAGACCCCAAATCTCTGAAAACATCCTCTCTAATAAATGCATAGAGAAGAGTGTTAGCCTAAAGGAATTACTTTTTTGGAGAGGTATAATTCCCTCTCTTCCTGTCTTGACAAGGCAAAGCAAACCAAGGCATCTCCTCAACAAGAAATTGCAAAGATGAATTTTCCAAGGAGAAACCAGTTTTCTTTTGAAAGAAAGAAAGAAAAACCTCTGTCCCTCCCCTTCACAGTATGCCCAGCACTGAGAACTCTCTTTCCCTGTTTTGTTCCTCTCTTCCTCTCTCCTCTTGCCTATCAGACCAAAACTTTCTCACAGTGAAACTGTAGCAGGTGAAATAGAGGAGGATGGCCAAAAGGGCAACACTGGTTTCAGCTCCAAAGCCTAAAAATAACCCCACCAACTCCTTAAGGAGGCCCTCCTGGCCACTGTATGTCCCCCACTCCACCCAGTGTAACCAGACCCAGCACAGAGGAGGGCTTTTGGCTTCCTAAAGTTAGATATGAGCCACTCAGCACTTTGACTTTGATCCTACATAAGGGCTAATGACAGAAACTCCTGCCTTGGCCATGTCATGCAGGCATCCATTCCCACTGTCCCCAGCCACCCAGAGAAGGCAGAGGAGAGGAAATGGATCCTCCTCGATGGTAACATCCTGTGCCTGGCCTCTCTACAACCCCAACTTCTCTTTCTTTGGAGAAGTCTGAACAGAAGATGTATGATCATAAAGAAGGAGGATTTTAGTTCCTGTTTGGTATCCTTAGAGAAGAGATTAGAACTAAAAAAATAAAAACGAATGACTCAAAATGAAGATGATTATAAAAACTCATTAAACCCTTCTAACATCAAGAGATTTAAGAAATAAAATTACAGACTATCCCTTAAATTTAACACTCAGGTATATAACAATATTTTTAGTATAAAATTTACCTTAGAGATTTAATAGGATGTGTTTACATTAAGAAAGTATTTGTCCTGTATTTAAAATGTAACACTCTTTTTTGTTTATTTAGTTTGTTTTTGTTTTTGTTTTTTGGAGATAGGGTTCTCCATTCTTGGCTTTGTAGACCAGGGTGGCCTGGAACTCACAGAGATCTGCCTGCCTCTGCCTCCCCAAGTACTGGGATTACAGGCCTGTGCCACCGCAGCACCCTATAACACACTTCTTTAACCCTTTTTTTTGGGGGGGTGGGGAGGATTCAAGACAGAGCTGCTCTGTGTAGCCTTGGCTTTTGGCTATCTTTGACACACTTTGTAGACCAGGATGGCCTCAAAGTCACAGAGAACTGCCTGCCTCTGCCTCCCGACAGTGCTAGGATTACAGGCAGAGTATGCCACTATGGCCGGCTCCAAAGTGTAACACATGTTTAATCCCAGCACTCAGGAGACAGGCAGGCAAAAGATCTGTGAGTTTGAGACCAGCTTGGTCTACATAGTTCCAGGCTAGCCACATTTACATGGTAAGTTTCTTTGTAAAACAAAAAAAACAAAACCTAATTTTTATTATTCAAATTCATTGGGGGGGATTCTTTGTGCATTTTTTCCCTCCTTTGGGGATAGGTTTCTCTGTGTAGCCTTGGCTGTCTTGGACTTGCTTTGTAGACCAGGCTGGCTTGGAACTCAGAGATGCACCTGCCTTTGCCTCCTTGAGTGTTGGGATTACAGGCTTGTGCCACGATAGCTGGCTATTTTTCAAATCTTATATTGCTTTTTGTCCAAAAATTTACATGTTACAGGCAACATATTTCATTGTAAAAACTGTTCTCAAACTCACGAGCAATCCCCCCTTCCTCAGCCACCTGGGTGACCCAGCTTGCTGTGTGAACCTGGAGGTCACATTTAACAGGGTACATTCTTTAGATTTTTGTAGGCTTACTGTTTGATCTGGGGGGAGTATTCTATAAATGAAACCTAGGTCCTAAGCACCTGCTTTGCCACGGAGCCATACATTTGGCTCCACAATTCTGTAGTTTTTAATTCTTGTTTTATGTCTCCACTGATAAAGGACATACTTTACTAAAAAAAAAAAAAAAAAAAAAATCATTCATTGTATCTGTTAACTTCAATATGCAGGACTGTGTTTTAGCTGGCTCACACTGGGAAGGAATTTTCTTCCTGTGGGTGTGGTGTTCCTCACTTTTGCACTGGCTCCAGGATGGGGACTAAGCTTCAGAAATGGACTGTAACTCACGCTAGAGTTTTTGGGAACTTAATATATAGGGCTTAATGAGTGTTTCTCATGGAGAAGAGATTGCTGGTAGTTGAGGATTTGGGCCCTACTAAAAAAACTCCAGGAAAGACATTGGGCTTCAAGAGAGTGGTTGATGTCCGTACTCACCATTGAGCTGTCAGAAAAAACATCGGGGTGGTTCTCATAGATGAATTTTTCCACCCGCATCTGCCGCAGCTTGAACATCTTGGAGCCTCGGTTAGTAAGTAGTGACAACTCCTCCAACATCACATCCCGTGGGACACTGATCTTCTTGCCCAGGTTCAAGCCGGAGCTCTCCCGTCCACCTTATCCAGGAGGTGGGAAAATAGCAATAAAAAAAAGGAAATTGGAGAAATTAGAACATTGGGGGAAGCAGATAGGCCAATCCCAAGTGCAGTTGCCATCTCTAAATACAGATTTGTTGTTGTTTTTCAAGACAGGGTTTCTCTGTGCCTTGGCTATCCTGGAACTCATTCTGTAAATCATGCTGGCCTCGAACTCACAGAGAGCCACCTGCCTCTGCCTTCCAAGTGTGAATGCTGGGATTAAAGGCATGCGGCACCACCACCCAGCTAAATACACATTCTTGTTTTTTTCCTTTCTTTTTTCTTTAGTGAACTCTGGCTCCACAGGTATCGGGAACTTCACACTTGGTAACTAGTATGCATCCCGAGGGAGTATATCTGTGCAATTTCCTATTTTAAGTGCTTACACAAGTTCCCTAGCACTTAGAAAGAAATAAGGAAGTTAACCTTTTGGTGAGCCTAACTTGCTCACACATACCCCCTACCATGGGCCCTGTCATCCTGGGCCTGGCTGAGTAATGTAGCAGGGTGTTGTCTCAGAGTAATCGGTGGATGAGATGGGAGGATACAGAGTGAGTGTTCAGTTCTTTCTGCCTCTTTCTTCTTGCCCTTCTTACCTCTCCATCACCCTATCTCCCACACCACCCTCCACAGCTGTATTCCTCTTGTTTTTTTTTTCACTCTGACTTACATCTGGTCTTATGTCATTTCTGGGATTCTTGAGTCAGGGATGGACACTCTTAAAAGCCCTGCATTAGGGAGCTACAAGCATGCCCTACCTCCGGTGAGTTCCATGATCAGTTTGCTGGACTTCCTCCTCTTGTTTGGGGCTGGGGTTCCGGAGAGCGGCATGGTGGAGGTGGATTTGACCTGGAAGGGGGGTGAGAAGCAGGCTTGAAGGAGAGATAGGGAATGGGGAAAGTGTGTGTGTGCACTACTGTAGTACTTCTTTTTTTTTTTTTTTTTTACTAGAGTATGACTTTATTGATAAGCAATAAAACAGAGGATTTAAACATATCCAAGATTTAAAGATTTCAAACAGGATACAAGAACATGGGCTATAGGAAGATAAAGAATCATTTCAAGGTTTCAGTCTTGGGACCCCGGGAGAAGTAGAAATGAGGTCAGGAGCAGATCTGGGAACAAGAGAGTGGTTTTAAACAGGCAGAGGCCATGGAGGAACTGTTGGTATGCTGTTCTTGTGGAATGTATACAATTTGCCCTTGTTCATTCAAATGCTGATTTCTCTATCCCACTCTCTGGCTTCAATCTGGACATTGCATTGTGATGCTTATTGTAAGCATCACCTGTCTCAAGTTTGTGTAAATATTTGTTCTCTATATTGTCAATTACATAACTAGCCCCAATGCTGAGCAATAGAGAGTATAGGGTGGAACATTATGTTCTGGAGAGGGGAGAGAAAGAAATGAGTGGGGAGAGAAGAGGGAGGAGAGAGAATCTGGAAGGGAGGTCTTAGAACCACATAGGGAGATGGATGTGTTATTATTATTTACTATTTACTTATCTTTTAGTTAGCGGTTATTCCTAAACCAGCTGTATACCCAAATCATCACACAGAGACTGGGATTTATTTAATTAACCTAGAGCACAATGCTGGGCAATGATTACTCCATCCCAAACCTCCAAACCTTCATCCTATCATTCAGATTTTACCCATTATACTTGCTTTTAGTCATATCTAAGGTCCGGTCCATCTCTCCATGTGGTTTCAAGACCTCTCCTGTGGATTTTCTCCTGTAGTATTTCTTATCTTGGGTTTGGGTACAATATTTCTTCAGGGCTGTGTGTACACAGCCTGTGTGTGTGTGTGTGTGTGTGTGTGTGTGTGTTTCTCCAGTGTTGAGGACTGAACTCAAGGCTTGACACATGCCGAGCAGGCTCTTTACCACTAAGCTATGCCTTGCACTCTCGGGTTTTCACAGAAATGTGTATTTCCCCAAAAGGTAAAACCACACTTCCTGAGGTTCCTGATTATTTTGGAAGCAGGTCAAGAGGTAGAGCTGTATCCCTTTCCTTACTTCTTATCAAACCACTGTGTCCACTTTCCATAGCTCCTGTGTGGGACTCGGGAACACAGCTGTGGCTGAGGGATGTTTAAAAGACACAACACTGGCAGGGCAATGCACCCAGGTTTCTTGGGCCTGGCATGATTTAAAGTCCTTATTTGTATTGGGATGTCAGACTACAGGTATGGCTTCAGACTCCGGTCTCCTCCTCTAGGCTTCCCCCAAGGTCCAACAGGGTAAAGAAATCTTTGGCTCGTGTTGAGGAGATTCAGCCAAAATATTGTCCATAGGAAGGAAAGGTTGCTGTTCTTCCAGGAGGCCAACTGGAACATGGCCTGAGAGGTCATGGGTGTGTTCCTTGCTCTTTCAGGCACTCCTATCCCAAGCTGCAGAGTTGGGGGTAGAGAGTGAACTGAGGGCATTTGAGCTCTGACAGATGTCAGTTCAGCAATATCATGCATAGCAGTTGAGAATTGTGGGGGACAGAAACACAGTAATAAGATCTGGCTGTGGGTGGGGACAAGTTAGGAAAAGACATAAACTCCATTCTCTCCTTACAGTCATGCTGGTTTCTATGGAGTCCTGTCGCACAAACACAACACACTACCAACTTAGTGGGCTCTCAGACCACCCCTTCCCACTCCTCAGGTCCTCCCCATACATCTTAAGTTTTCCTAACTCCTTAGGTCCCTTTCGTTCCAACTCTGTGGCTCCAGCTGAACAGCTGAGAGCTGAGCGGAGATGAGAGGACACTCCCCAAGGATGAATTACAATTGCAAACCGAAAGGTCAGAAGAGTGGGCTCCAGCCCCTTCATACCATAGAACTCAGACTTACCAGCCACTCAGTTGGTTGACAGCTCTCCCTCGGGTCCAGCAGCTTTGGAGGACTGAGCTGCTGTGACTGGAGAACCTGAGCTGGGCAAGCGTAGGGGCAGCACCAGCAGTGGGGGAGGGAGGGTGGTTATTAATAGAGATGATGAATACAAGCAGCTCAAATGGCACAGGGGGTACTGAGACCCTGGAACCAAGATCCTGCCCTCCTTGCCTGTTGTTCAGTAAGGGACAAGGCCTACAAAATTTTCCCACCAGGCTGTCTGAGCTGGGGATCAATTGTCTGAGGGGAAGTGCTTCCTCTTTGAACCTTGAGCCTTAGATCCAAAGAATTTCAGGAGGCAATTGAAGACAGAGGCAGAGGAAACAGTAAGTGGTGGGTAAGAATTAAGAATAGGGAAATGGAAAAACAGAAAACATGGTTTGTAGGCCAGTCAGGGCCATTCCAGGCCAGGGCTGGAAGTACCCATGGGTAGGAGAAATTAAGGCCCTAAACTGAAGATAGGATGGAATTTTTTCACAGTGGTTCTGCTTTTAAACTTCCTGAATAGGTTACTTTTTTCTCTGAGAGGGTTAAATCTTGGTAGGACAGGAACCACCTTAAGTCAGCCTCAGTGCAGAGGATGTGGGGGAGACCTGGCAGCCTCCCTCCTCTGCTGCTCTCTCAGCACAGTGCTTTTCAACCTGTAAGTCATAACCCCTTTGGGAATCAAAAGACTCTCTCACAGGGGCCACCTATCAGATATCCTGCATATCATATATTTTCATTACAACTCATAACAGCAAAATTAGTCATAAAATAGCAACGAAAATAATGAGACACCAGACATGGTGGCTTATGCCTTTAATCTCAGCACACAGGAGGCAAAGCCAGTTGGATCCCTAAGTTTGAGGCCAGCCTGGTCTATAGAGTGAGTTCCAGGACATCCAGAACTACACAAACCCTGTCTCGAAAAACAAAAACTAATTAATAATAGTAATATTTTGTGGTAAAGGGTCAGCACAACATAAGGAACTGTATTAAAGGGTCACAGCATTAGGAAGGTTGAAAACTGCAATGGTAGCTACAGTAATACCTAGACCCTCATCTTCTGCTCATATTCTGAAACCAGCTTGCCTTTTTACCTTTTGCCCTAACACAGCTGCCTAGGGAACTGGCTTTGGGAGGAGAGGGGTGCTAATTTAATAAACATAAAATAATATGTTTCTTGAGCCCAGCATGGTGATACATGCCTTTAATCCCAGCATTTAAGAGGTGGAGACAGGTGGGTCTCTAAATTCCAGGCCTACACAATGAAACCGTGTCTAAAAAAAAAAAAAAGAAAAAACAAAAAATCTTTATGACATCTTTTTACACACGTATCATTGTATCACTCACATTCACACCACATGACCCTCTCTTGTATCCATTCCTCTCCAGCAGTGGATTTTGAAGTTTCCAGATGTACCCCTGTCCCTTTGTGGACTTCCCACCCCCGCCCTTCCTGACCACACCCTTCTTCTATCCTATTCTTGTCATGCTTAAACTAGGGGCTGAGAGTCCTACACACACACACACACACACACACACACACACACACACACACACACATACCACCCCCCCACACCCCCCCACACCCCATACACACACCACACAGACCCCACACACACATACCCCCCCACCACACACACACACACACACACACACACACACACACACACACACACACACACACACCAGAGCTGGTGGCCACTGCCCAGACCTTTTATCTTTGGTCCATTTCCTCCCAACCCAAAGAAGAAACAGGAAAAACCATAAATAGTGAAAGGTAACTTTGTTGTTACTACATTCTCGTAAAAAAACAAAACAAAAACAAAACAAAAAAAACAGAACTTAAAGTCTGATCTTCTATGACCAAATACCTGAAATAAAAGATATAAAAATCCACTATTTACGCTATGGCGGCTCAGTCCTTTCCTTGGAATTCTGACACTGTTCTTGGAAGCATCTGCTCATTGGCACAAATATGCCCCCTGCTGGTAAGAAAAGTAATGACACTTTCCTTCTCTCTCCAGGCGGTTCCCAAATTCCCTGTTTTAGTCTCACTCCACACACTCACTCCCTTGTTCCATGCCACCCGTACCTGCCATTATATTCCCTTCACATGATTCCCAGAGAATACTTAACACTGTAACTGTCTTCAGGGACTCAGGAAGTGTCAAGGGCTCAGAGAGCCTTTCTAATTACTCTCAGTTGTGCAAACTGAGCCTTGCCTAGAGAGAATGACCTTTGGAGGACACTCTCCACGGACACTGCAGGGAGAGGGAACCAGAGAAGTGGTGAAGGTGATTAGATCAAAGCAAAATAATTGGCAGGAGGGCAGGATGAGAAGGCAGGGAGAAAGACAAGGAGCAAGGAACAGTCAGCAAAATGGAGTGGAGAAGACCAAAGAAATCAGGATTGATGTAAAACCAGAATAGATGACAGCAACAGAAGGTGTGGGCATATGTTTATTCTTGTGCACAAACCAAAGAACTGTGACACCCAATATTGCAAAGTTCAATTTCCAGATCAAACAGCAAGCATTGCTGGTGGTGGTCTTCATGTAAGGGCAGTTCTTATCCTCCTGGGATTGGAAATCAGGGCCTGAAGCGAAAGGAACCAAAGCTAGGCTTCTACAGGTAGGGTGGGATGAAAAGGAGGTTTGGCCTGTGTTTGCTAGGTCATCAGAATGAGCTGCAGAAAAGGGGAAGGTCAGACTCACAGGACATAACACAGCCACAACTCTTTAACATTGGGCACACATCCTTACATGCATTCTTCCCCTGAGCTCAGACTTTTCCTCTATGCCCCCTCACACATAGTCGGTTTCTTGTTGGCCAACTTTACCCTCTCCCTCTTGGTCACTTTCACTCATTGCTCTTGGTTTTTGCCTCACTCTCTCCATCCATTCTGGTTCTATTCACCATCCTTTCTGTCTTAGACTCAGTAAGCAGTTCAGGAGAAATTTCCTTACTTGCTCAGCACAGGACCCTGATTAGTAACTTCCTGAAATCCAAGGAAATAGAATCCTTGGTTTTATTCCAAGTCTAACTTGTATAACCCATGAAAAGTGTCGCTGCCTGCCAGTCTTGTCAGATTTTATTTTATAAGATGCTGTGCATACATCTCTACATGCTACAGACACTCCTCTCAGGAGAAAGTGCAGTTAAGCTCTTGTGCCCCGCAGGACTCCTTATGGAGGAGCTATCTGACCCTTCCAGGAGGAGGGAAAGAACTCCCCTCTTACCTTTGCCTCAAGAGAAGTGCACATGTATACCTATTCGATGCCTTTCCAGAGCAGATCCTAACCACACACATTTGTGAAAACGCACACACCCACACCCACACCCACATCCACACACCCACCTAGACCTATACCAGCTAACAGAATAAGCAGGGGCTAAGGACATAGTTCAATCCCTTAGTTGCTTGACTCATAGTGAGCCTTTTGCTTGAGATCTCAGTGGTCACTTTACCTAACACTAAGGTGCTGCCCACAGAGAGAAACACAAATGAAAAACAAAACAAAGAGATCTGAGATCTCTGGGTGGAGAAGCCAGAGATCCAGGCAAGGAAATACAGAGAAGATTCCAAAGCACAGATAATTGGTTCAAAAGCAGCGGCAGGGAGTTGAGAAAGTTGAGGGGAAACACTATCTCTGGCAAGAGGCAATCAGCCTCAGATGTGGGGTTGGGGGGAAGCCAGTAGGACAAAGCAGAAGAAACTTCTGGGATTCTACGTTCCTTTACTTGGTCCTGGGACCTATTCCCTGCTCACTGGTGCCCTGCCCCAGGCCTCCAGACATGAGCCTGTAACCCTGTTCTGGTGGCTGAGAACCTGGGCCTGGCTACTTGGAAACCACAGGAGCTGGGAGTGGCAGCAAAGCTCCTGGGAGACTCTTGAGGATAGTCTGGGTTAGGGACAGGGGGTGAGGTCAGCTCTGCTCTCCAAATGGGTTCGTCCAGTGTGGTAGCCGCTCTGGGGGCAAGCACAGTGGGAGCTAGGGGTTCTGCAGTGGGCTGGGGTGCCGGAGTGGAAAATCTGCGGATCTCCTGGACTCGAGCAGTTTTGAGAGGCACTGAAGTGGGGTCAGGAGATGAAGGAACCTCGTCAAAACAAAACATGGCAGTTTTAAGTTGGTACGGCTGATGACGCATAAAATCCAAGGCCTTGATACCCTGCTTGGGGGTCGCCCGAGGCCCCTGGGATTGGGCCTTATAGGGAAGAGTTCGGGCAGCGTGGGGGAAAAAGGGCGAGAGGAGTGGGTTGTAAGCAACAGGAGGTGGGGCACGGATGTTGGGGGAGTATTTCCACGACGGGGGCAGTGAGGGCGTGGGGGAAGGGCTTCTGGGGCTCAGGCCAGGATTAAAGCTAGAACCGGGTATAGCTTCCACCACGAACCTGTCGGCACGACTCTGCCGCTTGGCAAATAGCTCCCCACCCCTCCCCTGGAGCCTTTGGAGCTCAGGCATTCCAGCCTTTGGGGTCGACCCATTCACTAGCCCATCAAGAAGCCCTCGAGAAGCTGGCTTAGGAGCTACACGAGGTGGAGTCTTAGGCGTTGTAGGGGGTGGGGTTTTGGAAGCCAGTGGAGGCGGGGCTTTCGGTGCCACTTGAGATAAGGTCTTGTAACTTCTGCCCCCTGGTGGCTGCATGAAGTTACAGGCTTCAGCTCCGAGGCTTAAAGCGTCCTCCTCCGGACCAGATTCCGCACCGCCGGCCCGAGGTTTTTCATCCAGAGTCTGTACCAGCGAAAGCAGCTCCGGGTTGGGCGAGTTCTTCGTCTCTTCCTTTCCAGGCCGGAACATCTGCTTCCGGGTGCCCCGGCGCCGAGCCTCCTGCAGGATGCCGGTGCGGGCAGCAGGCACGGAGATGCGCTGTTCCCGAGCGCCAGCAGATTCCGGGTCCGCGGGGTCCGGCCCCTCCGGGCGCGCAGAGCTTCTGAGAGGCGCCGACAGGAAGAGGGAAGCGGTGGATGTCATGGCAGCCGCGCTAGGAGGAGTGGGAGGCTCTGGGGCGCCTCCTGGTGTGACGGGCCGGCTCGGAGCTGGGATGTAGAGAGAACTGGTAGCGGTCACAGGACCGGAGGAACGTGGGGTGCTGGAAGTCCCGGAGACGGCCGTGTGGCTGGGCACAACTGTGGTGAAGCTGGGCAGAGAGGTGGGCTCCTGCAGAAGGGCTGCGAAGGGGGACGGAGCGGAGCTGATGCCTCCCAGGCCTTCATTCACCTTCTTAGGGGCTAAGGGCCGGAAAATCACTGCGGTGGTACCTGACCTTTGCCCTTGTAAACCAGGGGTGAAAGGCCTCGCTGACCTGTTAAAGATATTTGGCGCTGGGCTAGGGGCTCCACCATCCGGGAAGGGGCTAGGGCTGGCCTCGGGGGCCGGCAAAGGACTAAGTGGGAGCACAGCTGCTTCTGGGGGAGCACTCTGAGCTCGAGGTGGTGACTGCAGACTCTGCCCATTTAGCATGGCTGCTGGGCCCTCCTGAGGCAGCTCCTGGCTGCTGGAGGCTGCCCGCTGGCGCTGCTGTTCAAAGAGCTGGACCCCTCTCCCAGAGACCTCACTCAGCTGCCCTCCCAGCCCAGAACTGTGACTCTCTGCTGTGCCTGTGCCAGCCCTGGCCAACTCCATGTCCAGATAAGGGCTGTCCCAGTCAGACTGATTGGTAAGGCTGCGAGCGTCCGAGAAGGCCTCTTCGTCCAGCTCTGACTCACTCGTTGGGGGGATGCCGTCCTCCTCCTCTGTTCCTGTCCCCACTGCAGCCCCGAAACTCACTAGCGTGTACTTCTTGGCTCTCTGCCGCCGTTTCTTAAACATAAGCACGCCCTTGGAGTGAGGATTGGGGGCTGCTGTTAGCAGGGATGCGATGGTCCGGCACTTGGTCTTGGCCTCCTTCACGCTCTTTTCTTGTAGGCTTTCTGCACGTTGCAGTTCTGAGGAGATCAAGACGTAGATTGATCAGGGACTTCACAGCCTATTCTAATCCTGCTCCCCAAAGCTCTTACCTCATGTATTTTCACTGAAAGGACCCACAGTGTCTCTTGCCTGTTGCAAAGACTGAAGACAGAGTGGAGGGGGAAGGTGAAACCAAGGACATGGACACTGCCCACACCACAACTCCTGTCCCTTTCCTCTGTTGCATTCCTATTTTCCAGGAGATGAGCCTTATCCACTCGACACATTCTTCACCTGCCTCTCATTCTTGACTGTCAGTGGAGTGGGGGAGGTGTCACTCTAAGGCAGGAAAATCAAACATTTCCCAGAAAGAGAAAAGATAAAGGACACTTCTCCCACCATGCTATCCTCACAGTTTGGACTTTATCCCTACTTCTCACCTATTACCCCTATAACCAGGAAACACAGATTCTTTCTTTTGATAACAGGATCTCTCTACATAGCCCTGGCTGTCCTGTAACTCACTATGTAGACCAGGCTGGCTTCGAACTCAGAGATTCAACTGCGGGTGCCTCTCAAGTGCTGGAATTAAAAGTGTGTGTCACCCAACACACAGATCCTTAACATGAGGCTCTTCATCCACAATTCCACCCGTCAAGTTGTTAATTTCCACACATCGTAAACACTCATAGAAATAACTTGTTAACATCCGCCTCCTAAAAACCAGCCATGGTTTTTTTCTCCATTGTACTTTTCTCATTCAGAATGTCTTATTGTCCCAGCTTACATACACACCAGTTCACATATACTAGCACAGTGTTGTCAAATACATTTGTATACCTACATGTTCCAGGTAGCTCCTCCCTCAGTTTCCCCTGGGGAGGCTCTGGTATCCATCCTATAGACAGGATTTTAGAACTGATCTTAGCCCTCCCAATTGCTAAAACATTCCTTTGTGCTTCATACCTCTGCTATTCACATCCGTGATAATCTTGGATCCAAAATGCAGGAAAAGCCAGAGTGCTGCTCTCCATGGCAACCCCTAAATCTTTAGGAAATTTCAAGGTCACCACATAATAAATACATTTTCCTTTCTTACAAGCTGGTGCTGGCACTAGAGTAGATAGAGGGCTTTAGAGGATAGAACTGTTTCCTCATTTGCCCAGTTTTTCAAGTAGAGAACTCAAAAGAGCAGCATTATCAGGTGGGCATGTGAGGGTCTGTGTGCTAAAGCACCAGGGCAGGACTTCCTCTGCCATGTGGGCCTGAGTAGGTGGGGCCAGGAAGTGGGAGGGGCTGTCCTGCTGTAAGACCCCACCTGGACAAAGATACTTTCTGGTCTGTGGTCCCCAGTTCCTCCTGGAAAATTCCTAACATTCCATCTACTTTTCCTCTCAAGATACCAAGCTGCTTTCTAATTAGGGACCTCATGCCTTTTGCCCCCACGTGTATAACACACAGAATAGTACTATATATGAGAGACTAGACCAGGGAGTCAGAATTCAGACCTAGGAGAGTTACTTCATGAGGATGATAATGGCTACCTCTTCATAAGATCACCATGGACACAGTGAGATGAGTCAACTTAGCATTTAGTACACTGCCAAGGCACACCATGAGCAACCACTATGCTTTCTTGATGTAAGCTGCTCATGGACAACAACATGTTCTTGTTCTTACATATCTTAGATTTGCACATACATGTCTTCATAGTGCACTCTCTCACTCTTTTCCTATGAGCTTCCCACAGTTCTTGTGGTCATAGACCCCTTGCCATGTAGTCAACCATTCTCAGAAAGGGGTGGTGACACTTTCCTGAAAGAACGAGGAAAAGAATGGCAAAAGAGAGAGAATAAGAGCGTATGACCTTTCCCAAAGACCACTCTTCCTACACTGTTGTCAATTGCCCTCACTCTAGCCCCCAGCACTCTCTTGAATGGGATATAGTAATACCTGCATAGAATGGGTCTTGGAGTTCAGGAGCTGGGGCTTTGTCACAGCTGGCTTGGCTGAGGGGCTCTTGGATGATGGGCTCAGTGGTGTCCATGCTGAGAAAGGCGGTGCTGGCTGGAGCAGGACCAGCTTGAGCCACCCCAAGGCCTTTTAAAGCCCCTTTGTCTGGCCCCCAGAGCTGACAGCTGAATGAGCTCACTGGGCTGTTTTTAGAACCTGTCCCCCTCCCTTCTTTCCCTGTCCCACAACTCCTAGTGTGACAGACATGGGCACCTGCCTCCCCTTCCCCTCACCCCGCCCCCCTGAACTCTGAGGTCTGCTTGACTAAAAATAAGCCTGAGCCACTAAACAGAATCTTAGCCAGCAGGATGGGAGGGGGGTGCTAAAATGAGAATTAGGGATAAGTATGGGATCTCAAGCCTGCATCTGGAATTTTTTTGTAGGATATGGGACACTCTCAGGATGTCAGACTATAAACTCTCATGATTTTAGCCTCCACAAATTCAAAGACAAATTGAGAATCACAATGGTGGAAGAGAAGAAAGATAACTAGAGAGAGCTAATCCTGAGATGTCAGAAATGGCAAAAAAGGAGTCTCTGGAAGGGGCATGGGGGCATAGGATGAGAGAAACTTCACTAGATCCAGCCCCTCTGTAGCTCACATCAAAATAGCAGAGATCCTGACGGAAGTGGAACTGGCCTTTTCTGCCCTGGTCTACATTCTTGCCTGAGATAAGAAACCAAAGATCCCTCTCTTTCTCGCTACTCCCCAGGAATCCTTTATGGACTTGTAAGTGTCAAAAGTAACATTCATACCACGCCTACAATTAACACTGTAATGAGCATGAGACACCTTCGCTCTGCTTTCAGGTTCTCCCTACCCGAAATCCTTTCTCCTCCCTTTATCCTGACATCTAGCAAAACAACAACCACCACCAAAGACTTCAAATTCCTTCCCCAGGTCCCCTCCAAGTCTGTTTTTAGTTTGAATTAAGCCATTATATAAGATAGTTATAATAGTTATCTTACAACAAAGTAGGAACCATGAATATTTCTTTTTCCTCTCCTTCACTATTCTTCTCAATTGGTTTCAAATGCTGTTTCCAGAGACTATGAGGTAGGTAGAATGTATGGATATGAAGGCACAGATTTAGGGCTCAGATCCTGATTGAGAACAAAAGGATTCAGGCACTCACTGGCTTGCTTGGCCTTCTGGGTATAAGTAGTAGTAAGGTCTTCTGCCACTGGGTGGGGGACAGGGCCCACCATAGGGATGAGATGAGGACCAGGCCGGAGAGGACCATGTGGTAACAGAAGTGCCTCTGCTGGTGGCGGCTGGAGAGCTGCCCCTTCCTCCCAAGATGGGGAGCTCACACGGCTGTCACCCTGCTTGGGAGAGCCAGTTTTAACAGGTGTTGGTTCTGCAGGGCTGTCAGACAAGTACACCTCATCAGGTGGGGCCCCTGGCAGAAAGGGCCTTGCAGGACCTCGGCGGCGAGTTCGGCGGGGCTTCTCTTGTGTAGCAGGGCCATCAACATCACTGTCTGTCTCTCCATAGTACGCTTCACTGTCAGGGGGGGAACGAAGGCTCCCAGGCTGAAAAGGAGCACCAGGAACAGGAGCACCTGGGGGCTCAGGACTCAATGGAGATAAGGGTGACAGCACTTGAAGCTCCCCTGGCGATGGAGATCTCACAGACCCTTCATCTGCTACCCTGGATGAAAAAGATGACAGAGCTTGAAAGATGGAGCTACAGAACTAATGACTCTGGAGGGGATGAAGAGACAAGGCAGTGGAGAAAGGAGAGACTGGCATATAGTTGGAATAAGTGGGCAAGGATGAGGGGAGGTCTGAAGGCTTTGAGGAAGCTGTGATAAGGAGGTGACAGGCCAAGGATTGAAGTCACCAGTCATTCAAATGCCTGCTCCCATCCATCAATTGCATATACATTCCATTGAGAGATATATACAAACATTTTCCAGTAGAAAAAGCATAATCGGAAAAGGTGCTTGTTAGTCACTCAAGCCAGGCCAGTGAGACATAGAGCTGGGGCAGGCAAGGAGAAACCTAGGCTATAGAAAAAGTAGGAAAGCACTCATACCTCCTCACAGTAAGGACAAGCTGATGCCCTGAGGCATCAATGAGGGTCATGGCACTGGCATGGGAGAAACTGGTGCAAGAAACCCCGTTGATCGCCAAGAGCTGGTCCCTCTCTCGGAGTCCTGCTCTGCCAGCCTGGCTCCGTCTTCGGATCTGAGATGTTGGAGGAGAGATTGTAGATCATGGAGAGCTCCAAAAGGGATGGACAAAAAGGACCCATGTGAGAGGTTTTTGTTTTTGAGGGTTTTGGGGGGAGGGTTAAAAAGGATAGGAAGATGTCTGGGGTGCAACTAAGGAGGCCTGTTCAGAGAGAAGGTACTGGTTGATGGGAGCAGCATAACCTCTGACTGTAGCAGAGACTGGAGAAACTGCATGGGATAAGGTCTGAGAAATGGCGAGTCCCTAAGATATTTTTCCAAGGACAGTGTCTCTACTGGCCAGAAGTTCTTTTTTAGGCCTTGAAATCCCAAGTGCCATTATGTGTTAACATTTTAGAATGGAGCTGGGTGTGGTGGGACATGCCTTTCACCTCAGTGCTCCAGGGCAGGAGGAGAGCTATGATTTTAGGGCCAGCCTGGTCTACAAAGTTAGTTCAGGACAGCCACGGCTACACAGAGAAAGCCTGTCTCAACAAACAAACAAAAACCATTTTAGAATGGTAGTCCACACTGAGGTAACCCAGCTGTATTCTGGGAGATTGTGACACATGCCTATCATTGGTTGAGTTCTCACTGCAGTGTATGAAATCTTGCACTTAATTCTTAGAATGGTTTATAAAGTTTGTATTATCATTTACCCACATTACAGCACAGAAAACTAAGTCTGTAGGTTGAAGTACTCAAGAGGCAGAGGCAGGTTAATCTCTGAGTTGGAGGCTAGCCTGGTCTATAAAGTCAGTTCCAGGACAGCCAAGACTACACAGAGAAACCCTCTCAAAAAAAAAAAAAAAAAATTAGGTTTGCTCCCATAAACTCTTCATAAGGGAGTCTAGGACCTAGTCACCTAGTAAGAGAATGGATTATGACTTAGAGAAAAAGAAACACGAAAGGCATTGGCAGGTTAGGGCACAGTCAGGCAGGGCAGGGCTGGGCTGGGAGAGACTGCCTCAACTCGTCACATATCAGTTTAGTCAGAGAGAAATTAGGACCTTCCCTGCATTCCTGGAGTTTGGAGTAGAAATTAGGACCTTCCCTGCATTCCTGGAGTGTGGAGTAGAGAGGCTCACACCCACAGGGGGGCAAATGCTGTGGCCAGACTTAGCCTCCTTGTCCACATGGCGAAGGCAGGGCCTTCTTTTGCTCTACTCCCTGAATCCGAAATTGGCTTTGCTGATAGTCCTCTAGGAGCTTGTGGTCACAGTCTGCTCCCCTGTAGCCTTGAGCATGCTTACCTGCCCACCTGCCCACCACCTCTTCTTCACAGCCTCCCACTCTGCCCACCTTCCTGGCCCAGAATGACTCTTCCCAAATTCCCCTGGGTTCCCTTCTCCATGAAACATCATTTTAGGAGCTCTCCCTTACCTTAGACACCTGTAAGGGTTTCCTCTGTTCGGCCCCCCCCTGAAGTCGGAAGCCCCAGGGTGCTCCCCCTGCTAACGTGACCTGCACCTCCTCCTCAGCGCCCATCGCACAGCTTGGCCTGTGGCCCCCGGAGTTTGGACAGTGTCCCTGGGAGAGAAGTTGAGGTGCTGGTACCCCGTCCAGCCTGCCTGTCCGGCTGTCCTGCTCCTGCCGACCCCGGCCCCCCCCCCCCCCCCCCCCCCCACTACAGGTCAGGCAACTTGGCCCTGGGATCAGTACAGTCCAGTACACATGTCATGTCAATCACAGCTTGCTCAAAATAGTTGCCGGCTGTATTTTTCTCCCTCCCCCAGCTGTGTTACTCCTAGAACTAATTATAGTACAAACTTCTGCCCTCCATGTCCTCCTTTTTACTGCTTGAGCCTTTTAATCAGGACTCAGTGTCAGTTCTAGGCTTTTTCTTTCAGGCAGCATTCCTTACTCCAAGGATTATGAATCTAAGTGCTTTTGGCAAAACCCCATTGCAAAGTGACATCAGTTTCATTCCCAGAGTTGGGACTTTGATCCTAGCACTTAAGATGCAGAAGCAGATGGATCTCTGAGTTGGAGGCCAGCCTGGCCTATAGAGTTCCAGGACAGCTAAACTACATAGAGAAACCCTGTCTAAAAAAAAAAAAAAAAGAAAAAAAAAAAGAAAAAAAAAGATGCGGTTTGCTCCCATAAACTCGACTGCTCTTTGAACTTACTATTGAACCAGGACCTACTTGTGCACCGCACAGTCTGCTAACCATGGAAAGGATGACTTTTGTGCATAAGAGTTTAATTCCAGCACTTGGAGGACAGAGGCAGGTGGATCTCTGAGTTCAAGGCTAGCCTGGTCTACAGCACAAGTTTCAGAACACAGAAAATCTAAAATGAATGAATGGATCGATGAATAAGAGTTTATATAGCAAGTGGCCAGAAATGACAGATTCAAGCCTCAAACTTTCCTCCAGAGGGTACAGTTAAAAGATATGTAGAAAATAAAGACATTTGTTAGATTGCTCATCATTTCTAGCCTGATGCCTGACCTGAGTTCTATCCCTGGGACCCACAGAGTGGAAGGAAAAAACTGACTCCAAAAGTTGTCCTCTGCACCCCACATGTACCTTGGAGCATTCAAAAAACAGCAGCAGGTTGGTCTAAGGTTGGGGAAAGGTAATTGGTAATGAAGCAATCAGTGAGTGCTTTCCACAAAGAAAATGTTTATGTTTCCCCCTGTGACACTAGCGATCACCACCACCAATGGAGGCCTCGACAACTGGTTCATTAGGCCCTTCACCTCCCCACTCATTAACTGTTCTAAGGCAAACATTACTGCCACCCATAGCTCCCCCATAACGCTTTCTTTGGTATTGCAAACTGCTCTAACTCCTCGGGGCACCTTGTGGGCACACTAGATCCTGCAGACTATAGCAATACCCTAACCCTAACACCAGCACCCAGCCCCTATGCCCAAGTGTTCACAATGCCTTGATTCTCTGCAGCACTCAAGTTTACCACTGCCTACCTACTAAATGGTCTGGAACTTGTGCCCTGGTTCTCCTTTTTCCAAAACTAGGAGTGGTACCTGGTAAAGAACCAGGCATAACAAACAAGCAGTTCAGATCTTGCCTTTTCTTGCAATCCTGGGTGTAACTGCGGGTGCTGCTACTGGAATGGCAGGACTGATTACTTCTTTAGTTATTTACCATCACTTTTCCTCTCCCTGCCTTCAGGATCTCCGACGGGTGGCTCAGACCATCTTCACTCTCCACAGCCAGACTCACTGGCAGCTGTAATGGGTCAACACTGGCGAGAATTAGATCTGCTAAAAGCAGAGAGAGGTGGTCTCTGTCTCTTCCTCAGGGAGAATGTTGCTTTTCTATCAACCAGTCAAGCATAGTAAAAGATAAGATCCTACCACTCCCTGTGGATCTCCAAAAAACGTAGAAAACAGCTTGAGGCCTCTGGACAGTGTATTATTAACAATCCAATGTGGAACTGGATACTACCCTTCTTGTCCCCCCTTCTCCTCTTTTCCTAATCCTACTAATTGTACCTTGACTTACAGACTTCTTCAAAAACAGATCCAAAAGATGTTTAACTAGACTTTTAATCAGTTGTTATTAGGGATTACCTGCTCTGAAGCCAGAGGCTTGCAACAGTGGGTCATACCCTAATTTATGACAATTGAACTTGCCTCAACCACCTCTACACCTGCATTTAGTCTCTAATGATAACGTCCCCCACCTTTCCCCAGCCCTGACTGTTCATCCACAGTAAAAAAAAAAAAAAAAAAAAAAAAAAAAAAAAAAAAGCTGGGAATGTTGCCTATTCATGACAACTCAGGCAGGGAAGCCTGGACTCCCTTTATAAACTTTGTACGCTTTGTAAACTTTGTAATCCCTCAAGATAAGAACGTGCCCAGGCCCCTGCCTGAGGAGCTCCAGCAGCCAGACCCATCCCCCAGACCGCTCTAACTGTCATAATGGCATTTCCAGCCTTTGTAACTGTCACAAAGGTCATCTCCAGCCCCTTAATAGAACCCTTCCCAGATTATGCTAATTTTAAGTGAAAAGTCTGAACAAAAACCCATCAATCCCTGAGCAGGAAAACCCAATTCCTGAGCGCCCCCAAGCCCAGGACTTGGAATCCTACCAATCCTCACCCTGGAAATCTCCACCCCTAAAAAAATCGTGCATAAATTCTGTGTCCGCTCAGTTCCCTGCTGTGTTCTCCCAGGATCAGTGGCAGCCACCCCTGGACTCCTTCCTCTCTGTCCTGGACCCTCCCAGTAACTCTCTTTCATGAGATTTGCTGCCTGGTGTGACTCTGAGAAGCTGCGAAGCAATGAAGAGAAGAAGGGAAGAAGCAAAGAAGTGGAGTGGGGCTGGGGCCCCTGAGCCCCTCAGCTCAGACGGGGACGCCTCGGCTGGAAGCTGCAACACTGGAGGAGTGGAGGCAGAGGCTTCCTTTCAGAGCGGTGCGGTTCCTGGGCTCCCATGACCTAAGACACCTTTCCACCCGAGGACGAAGGCTAACATTTTGTGCATGGTACAAAAAAGCTGGAGTTCTGAGCCATATCCCCAACCTGTGTAGCTGTCAGCTACATGAGTGCTTGGCTCTGATACCAAGCAGTCACTCACAGGCACTGTGGAGGTCCAAGTGAAGAGTCAGTTCTTTCAATAAAGGCTGCCTCCAAGCCGCTGAGGGGGAAGAAACCCACACAACTACTATGACTCACATATCAGAATGTTTTGCACACTCTTGTACACTTACACACACAATTACATATATTTGCTTTTAAAAAAATTTTTTTTCCCAAGACAAGTGTTTCTTTGTGTTGCCTTGGCTGTCCTGGATTCACTTTGCAGACCGGCCTGGACTTCACAGCAATTCACCTGTCTCTTCCTCCCAGAGTGCTGGGATTAAAGGCACACCCCACTACCCTCTGGTTAATTGTTATGGAGATCTGTATTACCCACTACAGGACAGAGTACTGAAGTCTGGTCAGCTCTGATTCGATTGTTTTAATACCTCTTCCTTAAAGCATTGTCTTCCAACTCCTCCCCTGCAGAATTAATCCTTCCGGTTTGAGCAATATAGGTATCTTGTGAACACTGTATTTTTTTTTAAAGATTTATTTCTTATGTATAAAATGTTCTGTCTGCATGTAAACCTGAATGCCAGCAGAGGGCACCAGATCTCATTATAGATGGTTGTGAGCCACCATGTGGTTTCTGGGAATTGAACTCAGGACCTCTGGAAGAGCAGCTAGTGCTCTTAACCTCTGAGCCATCTCTCCAGCCCCCACACTGTATTTTGTAGCTGAACATGTAGATTATTTATACACCTCCTAGACTATTAAAAAGTTGAAGGCAAGGAATGTGTGCAGTGGTCCACAGTCTGATTTTGTTGTTCTCTTTTTCTTTTTCTGCCGAGTTTCATATAAGCCAGACTGGATTCCTGAGCTTCCTGTCTCCACTACCTCAGGTTGTTCCCAGTAAATGTTTGCTGAACTGAATTACTATCATAGTATAAAGCAGGGGGAGGGAGTCAAGGAAACACAAATACAGATGTGTGTGTAAACAGGCAACTGTTGATATTAATAAAATCTCTACTTGTTTCTAGGTTTCCATTGCACAAATGTGTTCCACATTATGAAACCTTTTTCTGTTACAAAACATAACATTCTCATGTGGTCCCTGATTGTCAGTGGGTAGGGTCTGTGGAATAGATGTTCTGCTGGTGTGTGATAAAAGCTATTATCAGAAACAAAGCTATTTATCTTAGTTATTAGTTATGACATAGTTACAAATCAGAATTCAGAGTTAGAAGAACAATATCTGAGTTTCTGTTAGCCTATTGTTTATCAATATGCTGTTATGAAATTACTTGACTTTATCAGTTAAAAAAAAAAGCATCTGGATATCCTTTTCCCTTCATTGACTATTCAAATGTTTATTTTTAAATTATGTGTCTATGTGTGTCTGTATGTGGGTATGTGCCGGAGAATTCAGGTAACTAGAGTCAAGAAGAAGGCATTATATAGCCTGGAGCTGAAGTTACTGGTGATGTAAGCCTCCCAAACTAGGGAACCAAACTGGGAACCAAACTCAGGTCTTTTGCAAGAGCTGTAAACATTCTTAACTGCTGAACCATCTCTCCAATCCCTTAGTTTTATTATTTTTTATACCAATTAGTCTCTCTCTTTTTTTTAACTTTTAATATTTTTGGTTTTTTGAGACAGGGTTTCTCTGTGTAGCCCTGATATATTAGAACTCCCTTTGCAGACCAGTCTGGCTTCAAACTTAGAGGTCAGCCTGCCTCTGCCTCCCAAGTACTGGGATTAAAGGTGTGCACCTCCATGCCTGGCTTAGTTTTTTACATACCAATATTTTACATACATAACAGTTAAACTGAAATTATACATCTTCTGACTCCTTTCATTTTTTTTTTTTTTATTGTGTTTATGAATACATCTAAATCCCCACTACTCAGGAGACTGAAGCAGAAAGATTGCTTGGGACAGAAGGTCAAGATCTGCCTTGCCTAGCCTGGACAATACAGCAAGAACCCTCCTT